ATAATGGTAGTATAATATTGTGTGTGGCTATTTATTACACAGCTGTGTTCAGTATTCACTGCTGATGGTCCAGTTCTGCTGCAGGGTTTTCTTTTCCCTGAATACGATATTCCCATTTAATCATAAACACTTGACTTAGTTGTTGACATAACAATTGTTACCTTCCTACTGAAATCAGACAGGCTACATCATTAGCATTGTTTAAATATCTTCTAAAACTTTCATTTATAGGAAAGAGTTGATGGATTTTACCCTCCTGCACTTGCCTTGTAACTTTATTTCCCAGTGTTTTTATGTTGTTTGTTCTTTTGTTTATTTTCATCAGATTTTTTTTCTGTAAAGCACAGCAGCCCTTTTGACATGGAATAGTAGGTTAAACACAGGTGTTACCAATGATACTAAATGTTGTGTTCCATCTAGTGGAGCTGAGCGTTTCCAGTGAGCCAACAACAGCACAATCAATAGCAGCCCCCTGACTCCGTTTGACCTAAATGGAACAGAATATTAATTAGTATCATTGGTAACACTTGTGTTTACCCTACTATTTCATGTCAAAATGGCTGCTGTAAAAGTATCTTGTGGATTGATGCATATTGTTTTGCAGTATTACCGCCACCTGTAGATGAATGGAGGGCACCAGTCGGACATGCAACCAAAGTGCAACTAATCAGAATCAGAATCAGAATCAGAAATACTTTAATAGTCCCAGGGGGAAATTATTTTGAACTAAGCATTTTCATTGGTCGCACTGGTACACCTGAAATATAGAATATCAGATTTTGATTTACATGACTATTTATTCTGCAGCATGTGAGGTTGACACTGTATTATCGGGTGCACCTAAATTAAAAAGTTAGCTATTATGGCAGAAGCCAAAGAGGATCTAGATTGCCGTTATTATTGAGCAACATAACCTGTGTAGGGAGGAGGCGGGGGTGGATAGATGGTCAGCAAAACATCAGACACAGGAGACCATTGTTTTATTTAATTCCAACCACAAGTCAGTGTTGTGGGTTATAACCACAATTGTTCTCAAACCTAGTGTTTATTACTGTAACCATGACAACAAAGCACCCCTAACTTTAACCAATGGTGGTAGACATTTTAACTTACCCCTTAAAGGGACACTTCACCCACTTTATGCACATTAACGCTTTGTAATCGGTCTAGACCACCCCGGGTCCATTATTTTGAATGGCTCGTCGCACCATTACCTCCCCAATTTTCCCCTGCAGACGGGAACACAATACGGATTTTCAGTGTTGCACCTTCCTGCTGCGCAATGACTGAAAAATCATCCATTTTGCATCCACTGGACGAGCAGGAAGCTCATATCCATTTGTAGAGGGGGTGAGCTACAAACACCCTTTTCTCGGTCCAACATAGGCACCAAATTCAAAATTGATGTTACATTTCGACTACATATATAACCCACTTTCAATAAAGATTAATGTTTCCACGGGGGAAATGCTTCTTTAACAGAGTCATTTTTGTGCATTAACCTTACCAAACATTAGTGTTTTCATATCATAAAATGGATTTATTTTCCAACAGTGATTTGTAAATGTTTGGGAAGGCACATAGAAATTACGTCATCCTGATGATACAGGTTTGATCAGAAAACAAACACACCAATTTGGTGGGTTTGTTGGTAAGAAATGTGTACTGTATCATGTGTAAGTGGTTGTGTGTTAGAGCTGCAATGATTAGTTGATCAATTAATTAGTTGTCAACTATTAAATTAATTGGGAACTATTTTAATTTTAATTTAATTATTTTCATCGATTAATTGTTTTTAGTTATATTTTTCTTCTTAAAAAAAGGGGCAGGGCACTTTTAGTACCACTTCATAGAGTCTTGTAATCTGACTGGTTAGAGGCTGAATGTCACTGAATGTGTTCATACTGCAGTGGTTACAGTTGTTGTACGGATGCCTTCTTCTGATGTTCTACTTTTTGCACTCTTAGTGGTATAAATGTGTCTTAAAACTGGATAGAAAGTAAATTTATTAAAGCTTCTGGCAGAACAAACAGACATCCCTGTCTGATAATTGTATAATTTAAAATAAAAATAAATTATGTTAATCACATATCTGACCGGAAAAGGGGTGCACAGATAATTCCCCTGCATCAATAAACTGTATATAATACCAAAATAAAAGAGGGTGAGCGATACTGCAGCAAGACCACATGTATATTCAGTGTATACTCATCTTGTGTACAGTGTATACCAAAAATGGATTTTTAAAAGGTGCAGCATCCATTTAAAGAAGGAGCTTGCCAAGGCAAGTTGTAAAATTAAATGAGGGGATGTTTTTGCTGTGTATCCTTCTGTATCTGCTTTTAATAACCCTCCAACACCTCGAAAATGCTCGAGAATGTGTGTGTGTGCGTGTATGTATGTGTGTGTATCCAGGGCAGCTCTAGATAGCAGTGTTAAATTAGACCATGATAATAAGCTGTGGGACTTGATGTGCTCCCTGAGGATTAGAGCAAGACTTCATCCGTCTGTCTTCATCACTGACCTGACACACACACACGCGCAAACATGTACACACATACATGGCAGCATACTTACACATGTATATACTTAAGCCAACACATTTGAGCGTAGATGCATGTGCGTGCTTGAACACACAGGTACTACAGATGCACTGTATGTGCACTTTGCATGTTAGCAGACACCCAGACACACACAAACACACACAGCGGGAAGTTAACCACTAATCTTACCGACAGTGTGTGAGATGTGAGTATGCACACACATACTAATCACACACACAGAAAGTGGTTCTGACGTGGTTTGACTGGTTTTAAATCTAAGTACTGTAACTATTGCTGCCATCATGAATTAGTTACACCTGCCTTTCCTGCTATGACAAAATGTTCCATTTATCATCATCATTATTATCTGCCCCCACCATATATGTTCCAGTTACTCAGCAACATGATGTGACAGTTCATTGCTATGCAGACGATGCACAGTTTCATTGTATATCAAAGTATTTATTTTTGCATGAGTGGGCCTTTATATAGGTTTATAGTGACTTAATAGTGAGCAAATAGTCACAAATTGTTGTCTGTCATGGTATTTTGCCCTGTTAGTTGTGGTTCATTAATTGTTGTGTTAAAGAGGTCTAACTATTAGTAGTAGTAGTTAATAGGGCTCCCCTCTTAATATACGCTGCACAGCTTACCACGACCATAGCGCTCTTTATGGTAAAAACAATATGGCTGCCTATTAAAGGGTTACAGCAGTTGTTTCAGCCGTTCACTGGTATGGCGGTATATGAAAAAATTCATATCATACAGGAAATTAAAACTGGTATACTGGTTTATCTGATAGACAGCACAGTACTAGGTAACCATGTAGACTGACCTAAAAAAACTCAGTATAACTCAGACCAAGTTGAACAAACTTCAGCTTGCACATAATGCAGCTGCTAGAGTCTTAACCAAAAGAAGTAAAAAGGAATACAGAAAACATCTTCACACTGGCTCCCTGTCTCTTTTGGAATCAGTTAGCACCAGTTCACTGTGTGTCTCTCTAATAATGTACCTACCTGCAGCCTGAGCTCATCAAACACAACAACAGTTAAGACAAAGTAGTCTGAAGAGGGAGCCCTCGCTTTTACTGGACATAAACCGTGGAGAGGAACATTAATATTCAAGGTCCAGCTTTTGTTAGTTAAGAGTTTCATGTTGCCTTGCATATTTTATTTAAAAAAATTAATTTCTGCTCAAAATTGGTTGTTTGTGATTTTTTTTAATGCAATGCATAGTATGCATAAAAGATGATAATGATGAAGATGATTATTATTAGTAGAATTATTAGTATTATTATATATTATTCACATATACACTGTCCCGTTACCAGTCAGTGTCCTTAAATGTTTTTGTATTTTATATTTTTTAATATGTCCTTATTGTCTATATGTGTATCCACTAATTGGTGAGTATAGAAAAAATATAAATTTAAAAAATCAGAGGAAGGAAGGAAAGAGATTTTGAAAACGAGCCTACATGATGTTCTTGAGATTTGAGAACATAGACATCTATCCCGGCATTTAAGAAGACCATTGCTACTCCGCACACACACTGAGGACCCCAACACATCCAGGCAGTGCACTGCATAGAGCAAGAGGAGAGAGAGAGAGAGAGGCATTGGAGAGGGGGGATGCAGAGTGTGAGAGAGATGTGAGGGCAAGGAATAGTCGGGGGGCAGGGGGATGCTGCAGAGAAAAGGAAATCTCATTATATACACATGAGCACTGCACAGAAAATGACTGATAATACGTTTCATAAAATATATGAATGATTTGCAGGTTGATTGTGTGTGTATCGGTGTTCTAAGACAAATAGATGATTATTGATCCTGTGCTGATTGGAAAAAAAGCTGCTCAACCTACAGTACGTGTGTTGGATTTACATATACACACAGCAATAGACATCTGTTGAAGTTCTATGATACAGGTTGTGTGTGTTTTCATAATGGTGCTCCCAGTAGTATGCACCTTATTCCTTCGTTGTTCATGTAGCCACTTATTTTCACTTTACGTACACTGTGTATCTATTTTCTCTCTCTCAAACACACACAAACACACACACACAGATACACTATGTACCTCATTACTTTTACACTCCCCATCCATCATCCTTCCCCTCCCTCCCTCTATCTCTCTGTCTGTGCTGTTATCAATGGGATTGCAGCAGTCAGGACATTTGCAATGAATTAACAGCATTTCTTCACTCTCCTCGGTGTGTTATTGGCGCCCCCTGTCTGCAACCTGTTGGCATAACTACTGCTTTCCACATGCTGCAATGGCCCAAACCCCTCCTCCTCCACCAGCAAGCACATGAACACCAAAATACTAATGACAAAGGCTGAAACTGGCCAGGAAAATGTGGGTGTGTAGGTGTGACAGTGTCCTGTAGTGTTGTTTAAATAAAAGGAGATGATGTGCAAATTGTAACACCCTGTCTCTGTTTCTCTCTCTGCAGTATGTGGCGTTTGGCTCACTCTTCTTCATCCTCCTCTCCATCTCCACTTTCTGCCTGGAGACCCACGAAGCCTTCAACACCATCTATAATAAAACGGAGCTTGTCACCGTTGACAACACGACACATGAGGAGGTACACTGAAGTTTTAGTGAATTGACCTTTAAAGGGACACTCCAGCAAATGCAGTGTTGCTTTTCTTTGAAGTTGTGAGATTTGGGAGACAGATTAAAAGATTAATGATTAAAGAAGGAAGCAGCAGAGACCAAGGAAACCTTTTTTAGTCCCTGGTATGGGTCAATTACCAAAAACGCTCTACACTACAAATCCCAAGATGCAACCTAGAGCATCCATTCATAAGCCCATGCCCCTAATTTTGATGTCTCCTAGCTCAAGCCAAGATAAACACTGTTTCTTAGACTTGACCAAGCTCCTCCAGATCTGCAGAACTCATTACACAAACAAAGCACAGGCTGAGTAGTACAGCCCATAACTAGTAAACTGACATTTATGTGTAAAACGGTGGACTGGCTCTTTATTATTTAACGTACTTGACCCTTCCTAAGCCCCGTCCCTTTGGTCAACTTTCTCCTTTCCTGTAGGGATGTGTATTGGCAAGAAGAAAGAAAGACATAGAAGGGTTATGATTCAATATATTGTGATGTATTGCGATACTCTACGCTAAGCAATATATTGTGATTTAATAAACAAATTATTTAATTTTATAACAACTGTCATAAAATCTCAGTTAATTTTTTTTAAACTTTTTTTATGCAACCAGAACAGTGGCATCAGCATTTTTATTTATCGTAACATTATAGCCCTCAGCTTATGTTTACAACACTGCTATGTAGAGGTTGGGGGTTTAACCACAAAAATCAATGCGTGTTTCTGAGAGTCGATACAAGATAAAATATTGCGATTCAATATCTTTTAATATTTTTAACACCCCTACATTCCTGCCTATTTAGAAAGCATATGCTATGCTAGGTCTGACTATGTTGAATAAGAAAACTACATTTTGAAGAGGGTTAACAGATAAAAGCAATATCTTAAGTAAACTAATGTTCGCATGACAAAAGACTAGCTAATTAGCTAGTCAAGCTACATCAACCGTAGGTTCAATTTTGTTAACTAGTTTGCTAAGGATTAATGGAGATTTATTAGTTAGCTAGCCATCCAATGATTGATGTAGATAGCTAATGAGTCAGTACAGCAGTACAGGATGAATAACATGAAGCCCTTTTGGACAATAGCACCAAGTAGCTTGATGAGTTAGCTGAGGTAATACTGAACATTACCTGTGATGGAAGGGGTTTGCTATAAGTTAGTTAGGATCAACTTCATATGAGTTATGTAAGGGATGATGCCCGATGAGTTGCCCATTATCAGGAATTAATGGACGACGTATGCCTACAATGACAAATTATGTTAATGAGAAATTGCTAAAGAAACTTTTGATAGGAAGTGAGTAGTGTAACTGTAAAGAGTATTATATTACATTATTATCATCAATTACAATGACCCTTAACAGAATGAAACAGTATACCATGGTATCAGTACACCGCTGCAACCCTAGATGTGAGAAAAGGGCACTATAAAACACAGAAATGCACAATTGTATGGTGGAACAAAGCTACCTTGTAATGAATGAATAAATGAATGAGTAACAGCTTGATAAAAATTAACTAACCCTTCATTTTGTTCTTTCACCCTGCAGATAGTGTATGAGGTTGTCACAGATGGATGGCTGACATATGTGGAGGGCGTCTGCGTCATTTGGTTCACCATTGAGGTGATGCTGCGCGTCATCTTCTGCCCCGACAAGGCAGAGTTCTTCCGCAGCGCCCTTAACATCATAGACTTTGTGGCCATCGTGCCCTTTTACCTGGAGGTGGCGCTGAGCGGCCTCTCCTCCAAAACAGCCAAAGACGTGCTGAGCTTCCTGCGCGTGGTGCGCTTTGTCCGTATCCTGCGTATATTCAAGCTGACCCGCCACTTTGTGGGTTTGCGTGTCCTGGGCCACACTCTGCGGGCGAGCACCAACGAGTTCCTGCTGCTCATCATCTTCTTGGCGCTGGGCGTCCTCATCTTTGCTACCATGATCTATTACGCCGAACGCATCGGTGCAGATCCAGACGATCCGACAGCTGCGGCCCACACCAACTTCAAGAACATCCCCATCGGCTTCTGGTGGGCTGTGGTGACCATGACCACGCTGGGCTACGGGGATATGTACCCCGAGACATGGTCGGGAATGCTGGTCGGTGCCCTCTGCGCCTTGGCCGGTGTGCTGACTATCGCCATGCCTGTGCCTGTCATCGTCAACAACTTCGGCATGTACTACTCCCTGGCCATGGCCAAGCAGAAACTCCCCAAGAAGAGGAACAAGCACATCCCCCGAGCACCACAGCCGGGCAGCCCCAACTACTGCAAGCCAGACGCCCTAGCCATGGCAACCGCCTCGCCGCACAGGCTGATGGGCAATGTGCTCGGGCCGGGAATGGTGGGATCTGGCAGCATGATGGGTACCGGAGACTGCCCACTGGCACAGGAGGAGATCATCGAGATCAACAGGGCAGGTGAGTGATCTAAAAGAGATGAGATCATGTGTGTATGCAGGTGTGAGTGGATGTGAGGGAAAAAGGCAAAACAGGCCTCTGAATCATGTATTTAATTTCAACCAATATCTCAAAAATACCAAAATTTAGAGTCCTTGAATTTATATAAAAAGGGGCGGGACTTGGATGTGAGTGTTGGGTGTCATGGGATGTGTGTGAACGGGCTTGCAGGTTGTTTTGGACATGGCTGAGAAAGGATTTGTTTCCTTTTCAGATATGTGTCATCTCTTCTTTACTTTACTACTTATAGAGCTCCAAATTCTACAGTTAATCACTGGAGTGACCATAACAAGAAATGATTTCATAAAACTGTCCAAGTCTCTCACTTTCTCATCAAACTAATGACCAGAGGTCAGATGTCAAGCGCTGAACTGATGTGAGAAGTATGTATCTAACAGGTTTTGAAGCTGTAAATAACTTGCTGATGTCCCCGTTCTTACTAGAGTGGAGTACACTAAAATAGATTTTAATTTACGATGGGACGAGAAAGCTGAAAAAAAAAGGCTTATTACATTCTCTCGACAAATCCATCTCTTTGCTCTCACAGCCAGATGCTGTGCGCCGCCAAGGCTGACATGTTCAGATAATCCTGGATCGGGTCTATATAGATGTACAGTATTTTCTGCTTGTCGAAACATTGATCCCGGCCATCTCATCTCTGCTCCGATCTCCTGCTTTAATGGACATGTCCATCATCTGCACTGTGCGTAGAGTTGCAGTGATGTGCCATTACAGGATTCAAGGTTTATAACTATGAGTAGTCTTGCGTAAACTCATTTAATCAGAACAGCTGTGCGCAAAAGCTGTAAATTTGACGATGTTTTTATAAAACCAGAATTTGATTCGGCCGAATCCCCTTTTGTTGTTTTGGAATTTAGCTTTGTAACAGGCGGTCTTCAAAGTTTTCCAACAGTTTTTAATTTGTTCAACACTTCGGTCTATCCTGGCTTTGGTCGTTATGTCTTGTTTTCCTGCTGTCTAGGTGTCCAATATTGTTCAGTTCTTTAAGAGTTTGCATCAGGAACAAACTCAGAAACCCAGAAGAAACAAGCGCAGAGGTCGAGTTCAGGTTGGAAGCTGCCAGTTTTTGGAAGTGGAGAAACTTACATCCTCACACATTTACTTCAAGACAGGCAAGCGCAGAAAGAACACAGCCATAAAATAAACAGGTTAAATCGTTTATCAATCTATGAAACATTTAAACTACCCCTCTGCAAGTTGTGGCCTCTTTTTTCTAAATGTAGGTGTTTGTATGGGGCATTGTTTTTTATCTTGTGATATTGTGATCTTGCGAGTCCAGCTGCCTCACAACGTTACTTTTAAAGCCATTATAATGGGAATAGTAAACTTATGGCTATGTTTATAGCTATGTTTATAGCTATGGGAATAGCTATAAACAAAGCCATTGTTGCATTTTAAGCATTCCTCCCATCTGGTTCTGCCCATCTTTAGAAATGAACACTACTCATCAGCGAAAGGCAATTGAATCCATATGTCAGGCTGTAAAGTAAGGTCAGCAACAGACTGAACAAACCACAGCATCAATG